GTTGAGTGTGTTGTGTAGGGTGTGTAGGGTGTGTGTATCCCTCTCCTATGTGGGCACCAGTGACACACACACACACACACACACACACACACACACACACACAGTACTTTACATCCTCAAATCTTAATTCACACGTAATTGGCTTTAATTTATTCACCTACTCATAAATTATCACTAAATCGACTGGTCTACTTACCACAGTCAGTCAAAGGGAGACCAGAAGACCAACACGACACACATAGAGCTGCTGACGCCATGGTATCCACCGAGTCGAGTCTTATCTGGTAAAGAAGAGGAGAAGAATTATACAGGTAGTCAGGTGTTAAATGTCAGGTAGAGAGAGAGAGAGAGAGAGAGAGAGAGAGAGAGAGAGAGAGAGAGAGAGAGAGAGAGAGAGAGAGAGAGAGAGAGACGAAGGAAAGAGAAGCTGAGAGAATTGAGAGAAGGAGATGAAAGAGAGTAAAAAGTAAAGAGAAAATGTTATCTCTTTTCCTCCTGCCCTTCCCCACCCCTTCCTCCTCCTCCTCCTTTCTTCTCCTCTTCACCCCCACCAATACACAATAGCAGTATATCATGTAAGGAAAACATGAACCAATACAAACTGACATAAAACACAAAGGAAAAAGAAAAAAAAACGAAAGAAAACAAACAGGAAAAATATACCAAGTTTATGGAATATTTTGGGATAACATCAGAGACACGAAATATGACGGTGAAGACAGAGAGACAGAGAGAACAAAGAGAGAGAGAGAGAGAGAGAGAGGCAGAAAAGACAGACTGATTGACTAAGAGAGACAGATAGATAGACAGTTATTCAGAAAAACAGACAGACAGACAAATTATCATCAGAAGACACAACGAATATCTCATCCAACTGCACTGCCAATATGAGATCGATATTAACAACCAACACTCTACAACCATGCCGATGTGGTGGTGGTGGTGGTGGTAGTGGTGGTTGTTGTCGGTTGGTGTTGTTGTTGTTGTGGTGGTGGTGGTGGTGGTTGTTGTCGTGGTTGGTGTTGTTGTTGGTTGTGGTGGTGGTGGTGGTTGTTGTGGTTGGTGTTGTTGTTGTTGTGGTGGTGGTGGTGGTGGTGGTGGTTGTTGTCGTGGTTGGTGTTGTTGTTGTTGTGGTGGTGGTGGTTGTTGTTGTTGTTGTTGTGGTGGTGGTGGTGGTGGTGGTGGTGGTTGTGGTGATGGTTGTTGTGGTTGTGGTGATGGGTTGTGTTTGGTTGGTGTGGTGGTGGTGGCTGTTGCTGTGTGTGGTGGGTGGTGTTGTTGTTGTCGTGTGTTGTTGTTGGTTGGTGGTGGTGGTGGTTGTTGTTGTTGTGGTGGTTGGTGTTGTTGGTGTTGTGGTGGTGGTGGTTGTTGTTGTCGGTTGGTGTTGTTGTTGTTGTGGTGGTGGTGGTTGTTGTTGTTGTTGTTGTTGTTGTTGTTGTTGTTGTGGTGGTGGGTGGTGGTGGTGGTGGTGGTGGTGGTGGTGGTGGTGGTGGTGGTGGTGGTTGTTGTGGTGGTTGTCGTTTTTGTGGTGATGGTGGTAGGTGGTGGTTGTGATTGTGGTAGTTGTGGTTGTAGGATATTATCAGGAAAGGACTGAAGGAGATTAAAGGAGTAAGGAGAAAGAAAGGAAATCAGGCAAGGGTTTCTGAGATACCTTAACCTAACCTAACCACACCAGCAGTCTGAAGAGTTAACAAGGTGGATTAAGAAAAGAGAAAAAAAAGAGAGAGAGAGAGAGAGAGAGAGAGAGAGAGAGTTAAAACATCACATCCACACAATCTATAATAATGTTGACTTTTTTTTCTCAATAAACACAAAATTATATTCTAACATTTTAACATCAAAGATCATTTGATTTTAATACATTATACTCAACTGCACCAATGATAACAAAATCTCTCTCTCTCTCTCTCTCTCTCTCTCTCTCTCTCTCTCATTGCACGGCTTTCCCCGCCGCTGAGAGTTAAATTACAACCATTTATCTACATTAAGCAACACGACGTTTAAATCATCCCGGCCACCTAGCCTACACTCCAGCATTGAATCTTCCCGCGTTGAAAATCTTCCAGCATTGATTTGGCGACCCTACGGCGTTGAGATTCCACCCCCCTCCCCCTCCCTCCCTCATTTAACGACACCAATACCAGCGTTGAATTGCCTTGTTCTTCAATTGGCGACTCAAAATCGGCGTTGAAACCCCCCCACCCCCCAAATTGGCGAACTCAACGCCTATCACAGTTAAATGGGAAAATAGTCGTTCTAACCGATCTATTTCATCACTAATACAGGTAATAATCGTTCAGTGTTATTTACCTGTTGAGCAGTATATTTCGCCACACTAATTAGTCAGTCCATGGCATATTACTTATTAATCCATCAAAGCCAATCATTTCAATGGTAATATTACGATGTAGTGGTCTAATAGGTCAATGAAGGTCACACTGTCATCACCCTGTAACACTGTCATCACTATCTTACACTGTCACCACCCTATAACACTGTCATCACTATCTTACACTGTCACCACCCTATAACACTGTAATCACTATCTTACACTGTCACCACCCTATAACACTGTCATCACTATCTTACACTGTCATCACCCTGTAACACTGTCATCACTATCTTACACTGTCATCACCCTGTAACACTGTCATCACTATCTTACACTGTCATCACCCTGTAACACTGTCATCACTATCTTACACCGTCATCACCCTGTAACACTGTCATCACTATCTACACTGTCACCACCCTATAACACTGCTCATCACCCTGCAATACTGTCAATACTATCTTTACACCGTCAACACCCTGTAACACCGTCATCACTATGTTACACCTGTCACCAAATTCTATAACACTGTCATCACTATCTTACACTGTCACCACCCTGTAACACTGTCATCACTATCTTACACTGTCACCACCCTGTAACACTGTCATCACTATCTTACACTGTCACCACCCTGTAACACTGTCATCACTATCTTACACTGTCACCACCCTGTAACACCGTAATCACCTTTAAAAATAAAATGACAGTTAATAAACAAAAAATATTACAAAACCATATTAATTTCCACCTAATATACAGAATATAATGGGCGGAATACACTCGGTATGTTTTCTAATCACCGCTGGGAATTGTACGAGTAATTCTCATTCTGTTAAATTTTGCTCGAGGTTGGGTTGGGTTTGAGTGGGTTGGGTTGGGTTTGAGTGGGTTGGGTTGGGTTTGAGTGGGTTGGGTTGGGACTGAGTGGGTTGGGTTGGGTTTGACTGGGTTGGGTTGAGTTTGAGTGGGTTGGGTTGGGTTTGAGTGGAGTTGGGTTGGGTTTGAGTGGAGTTGGGATGGGTTTGAGTGGGTTGGGTTGGGTTTGAGTGGGTTGGGTTGAGTTTGGTGAGTTTGGGTTGAGTTTGACTAGGTTGGCTTAGGTTTTGACTTTGGGTTGGGACTGACTGGGTTGGGTTGGGGACTGAGTGGGTTGCGTTGGAGTTTAGTGGAGTTGGGTTGTGTTTGGGATGGGTTGGTTGGGTTGAGAGAATGGGTTGGGTTGTGATTTGGGTTGGGTTGGAGTTTAGGCTCAGTTTAAATTTGGGTTTGGGCAGGACAGGTTGGGTTTCAGTGGGTTGGGTTGAGTTTGAGTGGGTTAGACTGGGGTTTAAAGTGGGACAGGTTGGGTTTTTGACTGAGTTGGGCAGGTTTGAGTCAGGTTGGTTGGGTTTGAGTGGGTTGGGTTGAGTTTGAGTGGGTTGGGTTGGGTTTTGGTGGTTGGGTTGGTTTGGTGGGTTGGGTTGGGTTTGAGTTGGACAGGATGGGTTTGAAGTGGTTGGGACAGGTTTGGGTTTGGGTTGGGTTGGGTTTGAGTGGGTTGGGTTGGGTTTGAGTGGGTTGGGTTGGGTTTGACTGGGTTGGGTTGGGTTTCTCTATATTTGTCCATACGATAAAGTCAGCCTTTTCTAAAATCCAAACTCACTTACTAATTGACTCGCTTATCCGAAATCAAATTATAAACCGGACTCCCTCACTTATCCGGAATAAAATATAAACCGGACTCCCTCGCTTATCCGGAATAATAAACAAATACATTTCCTAATATCAAAATTGACTCGTTGGTTTAGGTCCAAATAATCCGTTCCTAGTGAAGCACAAATCAGCTGTCAGGAAGCTTAGCAGGTGTGCCGGTGTGAGCAATATTGTCGGTGACCATGAAGGAAGGAAGGAAGGAACTTAGGAAGGAAGGAAGGAAGGAAGGAAGGAAGGAAAGAAGGAAGGAAGGAAGAAAAAAAAAAGAAACATTTCATTTGAGTGAAGTCGACGCTTATTGCTTCCTCTGGTCGACCTAGATCACATAACCTCGAGGCCCACCCACCTGACCATCCGAGCCAGATCCTACACGAAGAACAACTTGATGAGATGAACAACTTTGGAACAACTTTATATTGGAACAACCTAAGGGATTGGGTGGTGTGGGGGGTGGGGGGTGGGGTGGGAAGTGGGGTGGGAGTCAATTTATCACTGTATTAAACTAGGTCTCTTAATTATCAATCCCTCCCCTCCCTCCTTTCCCCACCCTCCTCTTCCCTCCCTTCACCCCCTCCCCTCCCCTCACCCCCCCCCCATTCAACAGCAGTGTTTACAGTGCTGCATTATTCATTTAATTTTGTAAGGAGTTTTACCTTTCCCCCATATGTTGCTGTGTTCTGAGGCGAGGAGTGGGCGTGGCAGCTCCCATACGCTCCCACCCACACCTCCAACCCACACACCTCCAACCCACACACCTCTAACCCACACACCTCCAACTATCACCTCTTCTATCCCCTGCCTCACTTCATTTCACACCCTCCCCCACTCTTACCTTTTCCCCCTCCCTACCCCACACATTCCCTCCCTCTCTCACCTCACCCTTCCCTCACCCCCTCCCTCTCCCTCACCGCCTTTCCCCTCACCATGTTTTCCTCTCATATTTCTTCACCAACTTTGTGTCAACTTCCAGAGAGTCGTGTCTCTTGCAGTCACCTCCCCTTGTTTCGCCTACCTGAAAACATCGTCGGTGCAGGCAGAAGGCAAGCGAACGTACGTCTATATGCAGCAAACAGGACGAGCAAACGTACGCCTAAGTGAATCTTCTATGTTCGTATCATAGTGGGGTGAAAGTGAACGCCAGGCACTGTTGAAAGCTCCTACTGTCGCTGTTACTTACCTGCCACCACTGTCATTGTTACTTACCTGTCATCACCTGTCAAGTCATGATACTACAGTAACGTTATCTAATGAGTCATGAGTCACAAGAATGAAGTTATAACGAAGGAAAGTTGTTATAACGAAGTGCCGAGCTCGACGACTTGACAACACCGTCATCTATCGCTGTCTGGTAAATTTAGGTGGGCGGAGCCGAGAGACGTGTCGATTTCCTGTGATTTAATTGGCTGGTCACTTTTAGGGCGGGGCCTGGAGGATGGAACTGGGGAAACGGGGTATTGTGGATGTAGTGTGGGCTCTCTGCTGACAGTGTGGGTCCCTGCTGACAGTGTGGACCCCTGCTGACAGTGTGGGTCCCTGCTGACAGTGTGGGCCCCATGCAATATGACAGTATTAACGGAGACGCCTTTCAATGGTAAATTAATTAATGTATTTTGTGTGTGTGTGTGTGTGTGTGTGTGTCAATCTCTCTCTCTCTCTCTCTCTCTCTCTCTCTCTCTCTCTCTCTCTCTCTCTCTCTCTCTCTCTCCTAACCCGTATCCAAAGAACCTATCTACTTAAGGTCGAGTCTCAGCGCCATGTAGACACCATTCTGGCCACCATCTCTCGACCTAATATACCATAAATGAAACCCAATGTTGTTCAAGAATCATTTTTACAAGAGGCAACAAAATGAACTTCAGATTACCTCCCAGTCTCAGCCTACAGTGTGTATAGTGATGATGAGATGTGGTGACGTGGTGATGTTTTTAAAGGTCATGTATTATGGTGTTCTTGCTTGTGTGTTTTTACAAGCCATACTCTTTAATTAGCTCTCTCTCTCTCTCTCTCTCTCTCTCTCTCTCTCTCTCTCTCTCTCTCTCTCTCTCTCTCTCTCTCTCTCTCTCTAACCTTCTCCTGGTTCCCTATTTCTAGTAAACTAACCCGTCTCTTCGTAGTTCCTCTCCTACTAGCCCTCTCTTGCTAGTTTATCTTTTACTAGCTGGCCCTTTAACTAGCCCCCCCTCCCTCTCTCTCTCTCTCTTGCTAGTCTCTTTCCTTCTAGTCCACCCTTGCTAGTCCCATCCCAGTCGATCACCCCTCACTAGCCCTCCCCTCCCACACTCCACTTCCCATCCTCACCTCCTTTCAGTTTATACCCCCTCAAACCCATTCCACTCTTCCTCTCTCCCTCTCATCTTCCTCCTCCTCCTCTCACTACTCAACACACTAAACACATCTCGTGTCCACCAACAGATGACCGCGTGAGGGACATTACAACAAGACGGTGGATATTTACGAAGACGTCTCCTCGCCAGAACTCACGCGCCAGAACCGCTATGGTCCACTCTCCTGCTGGTACCAGGGTGACCAAACCAGCGCTCAAAGACGACTGGGTCATTGTTGTCAGATTCAAGATTCAAGGTGGAAGAGTCCAGAACGCCACGGACTGTGAGAACGGTTATATCAAGGTGGGTGAGGATGCAGCAGGTGAGGGTGAGTGGTGCTACAGCAGGGTGAGTGGTGCTACAGCAGGGTGAGTGGTGCTACAGCAGGTGAGGGTGCTAAGGAAGGTGAGTGGTGCACAGCAGGGGGTGGTGCTACAGGAAGGTGAGTGGTGAGTGGTGCTGCGAAGGTGAGTGGTGGCACAGAAGGTGAGTGAGGTACAGCAGGTGAGGAGTGGTGCTACAGCAGGGTGAGTGGTGAGTGGTGCTACAGGAAGGTGAGGGTGAGTGGTGCTACAGCAGGGTGGTGGTGGTGTGCAGGGGGGGGAAGCAGGGTGGGTAAGGTGGTGAGTGGTGGGCCAGGAAGGTGAGTGGTGAGTGGTGCTACAGCAGGGTGAGTGGTGCTACAGGAAGGAGTGGTGAGTGGTGCTACAGGAAGGTGAGTGGTGGGGACAGAGGGAGGTGGGTGACAGGAAGGTGAGGGTGAGGTGCCAGGGGTGAGTGGTGCTACAGGAAGGTGGTGATTCATCACTAGCCAACATCAACTAGCCTAACCTAAACTAACCCTACCTCACCACCTATCCTAGAGTGAGTCGTCCACCTACACGGAAAATAAAAGCGTAACCCCGTAGGCAGTCTTCAGTACAGAGGGTCAGTTAGTTTGTTTGTTTGTGTGTGTTTGTTTGTGTGTGTTTGTTTGTGTTTGATTATGTTTGTTTTAGTTTGTGTTTGTTTGTATTCCATATATAGGTAATGGTGTCTGGCTGGTGGGCAATTTACCTGGGACATTGTCAAGCTGCTGGCTGTGTGTGTGTGTGTGTGTTCTTCTATTCCTTTTCCCTCTCCTTCACCTTCCCATCTCTCTCGGCTCTCCTCCCTGATGCCACCACACTCCTCACCCTGATTCCTTAGTTCAGTGGCAGGTATCAATGACCAAACCATATTTACTCACCAAATTGGAGGCGTTCTGATGATGATGGTGTAGTGATGGTGATGGTGGAGTGATGGTGGAGGAGAGGAATGGTGGAGGACGTGGTCAATACTAAGGATATTCCACTCCTCCAACAACAACAACCACCACCATCACCAAACCCAACCACCACACACCACAAAACCACAACCAACAACCAAATAACACGTATCAGCCTACAACCTCACAATTTTCACAGCTACACTGTACACACAAGCGCCTTCAGTCTTGCGTCTAACACATTATAACAAGGCCATTACGTCAAAGGGTCATTAATAGGACCTCCTGACCTCTAGACTGATCCTTTAACCTCTCAAAAGGACTTTCTGGCTTCTAGATGGCACCTTTAAACCCTCAAAGGACTTTCAGGCCTCTAGATGGCACCCTAAACCCTCAAGCGACTCTAACCTAAACAAACGACCTCTAACCTATACAAATTATACACCTTAACCTCTCAAGCGAACCTCCCGACCAATAATCTCCCAGAGGTCACCAAGAGCCCTAAAACCTCTCAAAGGTGTTTTTCGTCTTAAAAGTTCCTCTGTGTTTTTAGGCACATCACACCTCATACTGAAAAAACCCTAAATTTGCTCCTATTTGGTTCCTATTTGGCTCTATTTGGCCCTATTTGGCTCCTATTTGGTTCCTATTTGGTTCCTATTTGTCTATTTGCCTCTCCTGAAGGTGTAAGAAATGTCTCTACCAATAAAAGGTCCCCACCCCATATAGGCATGTCCTCCCGTTTACAATTACAAATGTTCCAAATAATCTGGTTGTATATTTTGTCCTCCCAAAGGGACCTGGAAATTTTTCTCCCCATCTCCCCATATTCTGTCGTCGTCGTTCCATTCTCCTCCTCTTCCTCCTCTGCCTCTTCTCACGTCTCTAGTCCGGTGTAGAATATTTCAACACGAGAACTTTTTGAAAACCTGAGCCTTCCAGAGAAAGTTGGGCAACGTTATGAGAGAGAGAGAGAGAGAGAGAGAGAGAGAGAGAGAGAGAGAGAGAGAGAGAGAGAGAGACTTATCTTATGTACCCTTTAACCTGTTGTATTTTCTCCCATTATCTCTTTATCCTTTACCACCTCTCTATCTCCCATGTTCCCTATCCTTCCTCTTTTCTCCTCCCATGTACCTACACTGTGCTCTTAACAGGAAGCCATTCACCAGAGACTAAGTGGCTGCCCTGCTCTAACCAAAGTAATGTGTGTGTGTGTCTGTGTGTGTGTATGTGTGTGTGTGTATGTATGTGTTTGTTTGCCTGCTTTGTCCTCCTGCCCCTCCCTCCCCAACTCCCACCTCCCTCTCCCCTCCTCCTCCCCAACTTCCCCCCCCACCTTGACAGTTTACTCTCGCCTCTGTAAAAAAATAATAGTTTGTTTTTATTGGTTTTTGTATCACCTGAAAATTAGACACCTAAGCTAATCTAACCTAACCTAACCCAATCTAACCTAACTTAACCTAACCTAACCTCACCACACCACCACCAGCCACATCCATCATTACCACTACTACCACACCACACTCCCACACTACACCACCACCCACCCACAGCACCACACTCCCACCCTCGAACCACATCCCTACCACACCCTCCCACAGTACCACACCACACCCCTACCACACTACTACACGACCACACCACCACCCTCCCAGTACTACCACACACCACCACCACACTCGAAACACATCCCTACCACACCCTCCCACAGCACCACACCCTACCACACCAGAGGCTCCACCCGCAAGCTATCAGCCGGTCGTTTGTGGCAGAGGCTGGGAACTGGTCACTAAAATGGACTCACTGTGTGGTACTGCTAACGGATTCTAATTCACCGTGAAAGCGTTGATTGTGGCGTTGATTGAGGCGTTGAAGCGTTGAAAGTGTTGTTGAAGCGTTGATAGTGTTGTTGAAGCGTTGAATTAGTGTTGTTGAAGCGTTGATAGTGTTGTTGAAGCGTTGATAGTGTTGTTGAAGCGTTGATAGTGTTGTTGAAGCGTTGAATTAGTGTTGTTGAAGCGTTGATAGTGTTGTTGAAGCGTTGATAGTGTTGTTGAAGCGTTGATAGTGTTATTGAAGCGTTGATAGTGTTGTTGAAGCGTTGATAGTGTTGTTGAAGCGTTGATAGTGTTGTTGAAGCGTTGATAGTGTTGTTGAAGCGTTGATAGTGTTGTTGAAGCGTTGATAGTGTTGGTGAAGCGTTGATAGTGTTGTTGAAGCGTTGATAGTGTTGTTGAAGCGTTGATAGTGTTGTTGAAGCGTTGATAGTGTTGTTGAAGCGTTGATAGTGTTGTTGAAGCGTTGATAGTGTTGTTGAAGCGTTGATAGTGTTGTTGAAGCGTTAATAGTGCTGTTGGAAGCGTTGATAGCGTTGTTGAAGCGTTGATAGTGTTGTTAGAAGCGTTGATAGTGTTGTTGAAGCGTTGATAGTGTTGTTAGCGTTGATAGTGTTAAGGAAGCGTTGATAGCGTTGTTGAAGTTGCCGATAGTTTTACGGTAAGCGCTGATAGTGTTGTTGAAGCTGCCGATAGTGTTGTTGAAGTTGCCGATAGCGTTGTTGAAGCCGCTGATAGTGTTGTTGAAGCGTTGATAGTGTTGTTGAAGCGTTGATAGTGTTGTTGAAGCGTTGATAGTGTTATTGAAGCGTTGATAGTGTTGTTGAAGCGTTGATAGTGTTGTTGAAGCGTTGATAGTGTTGTTGAAGCGTTGATAGTGTTGTTGAAGCGTTGATAGTGTTGTTGAAGCGTTGATAGTGTTGGTGAAGCGTTGATAGTGTTGTTGAAGCGTTGATAGTGTTGTTGAAGCGTTGATAGTGTTGTTGAAGCGTTGATAGTGTTGTTGAAGCGTTGATAGTGTTGTTGAAGCGTTGATAGTGTTGTTGAAGCGTTGATAGTGTTGTAGAAGCGTTGATAGTGTTGTTGAAGCGTTGATAGTGTTGTTGAAGCGTTGATAGTGTTGTTGAAGCGTTGATAGTGTTGTTGAAGTGTTGTTGAAGCGTTGAATTAGTGTTGTTGAAGCGTTGATAGTGTTGTTGAAGCGTTGATAGTGTTGTTGAAGTTGATAGTGTTGTTGAAGCGTTGATAGTGTTGTTGAATTGTTGAATTAGTGTTGTTGAAGCGTTGATAGTGTTGTTGAAGCGTTGATAGTGTTGTTGAAGCGTTGATAGTGTTGTTGAAGTTGAATTAGTGTTGTTGGAAGCGTTGATAGTGTTGTTGAAGCGTTGAATTAGTGTTGTTGAAGCGTTGATAGTGTTGTTGAGAAGCGATAGTGTTGTTGAAGCGTTGATGAGTGTTGTTGAAGCGTTGATAGTGTTGTTGGCGTTGATAGTGTGTTGTTGAACGTTGATAGTGTTGTTGAAGCTGAAAGTGTTGTTGGCGTTGATAGTGTTATTGACGTTGATAGTGTTGTTGAAGCGTTGATAGTGTTGTTGAAGCGTTGATAGTGTTGTTGAAGCGTTGATAGTGTTGTTGAAGCGTTGATAGTGTTATTGAAGCGTTGTTGAAAGTGTTGTTGATAGTGTTGTTGGCGTTGATAGTGTTGGTGAAGCGTTAATAGTGTTGTTGAAGCGTTGATAGTGTTGTTGAAGCGTTGATAGTGTTGTTGAAGCGTTGATAGTGTTGTTGAAGCGTTGAAAGTGTTGTTGAAGCGTTGATAGTGCTATTGAAGCGTTGATAGTGTTGTTGAAGCGTTGATAGTGTTATTGAAGCGTTGATAGTGTTGTTGATGCGTTGATAGTGTTGTTGCTGATAGTGTTGTTGAAGCGTTGAAAGTGTTGTTGAAGCGTTGATAGTGTTGTTGAAGCGTTTATAGTGTTGGTGAAGCGTTAATAGTGTTGTTGAAGCGTTGATAGTGTTGTTGAAGCGTTTATAGTGTTGGTGAAGCGTTAAGTAGTGTTGTTTTGATAGTGTTGTTGAAGCGTTTATAGTGTTGATGAAGCGTTAATAGTGTTGTTGAAGCGTTGATAGTGTTGTTGAAGCGTTGATAGTGTTTGAAGCGTTGATATTGTTGAAGCGTTGATAGTGTTGTTGAAGCGTTGATAGTGTTGTTGAAGCGTTGA